TACTGCAAGTCCTCTGATCAGCTACATGTACCATAGGTTTTTGTTTGATTTGTTTCTACAGAAGACATTCAGCATATCTCAGTGTGTAATTGTGACAGGATTTGTAGAGCATGAAAGTCAAGAAAGGACTAGAGATAAATTGCAGATAATTCTGCAAAGACAGATATATGGAGGTGGTGATGTTGAATATATTTTGTATCCCTTTGGAAATGCAATTGGCACAGCAGTAGCAATATTTTGTGAAAGGTCAGGTAAATACATTTAAACCAAAATTAAATCTGGATGTCTTTTATGAGATTTTTGTTTAGAAATACTTGACCACAGGAACGAACCCTGAAACAATTAATGTATCAATAAACATACAATTCCTGAAGAATTAATATCTACTGTACAGTGAAAACAATAGGAACATAGGCCTATCTGTCAACTACCTTTACTATGTTTATTACATTGGCACATTTAATATTATAATTCTCCTCTACAGACCAATTCATGTGTTTTACTAAAATGTATATTATAATCATGAAGGTATCAACAATATCATAACTGGGGATAATGCTACCAGCCAGAAATTTTCTGTAGCCTATCAGTACAACTATCATATTTTTAACAATTTTAAAAATTTTCATTTGCACCCAACAGCGAGTAACTCACCAGTTACAGGATGGAAGATGGTTTATAATCCAGGCCTCTTTTATGAGGCTTAGGGAGTGGAGTTGCTTTTAGTTGTGAGAAGAATTTCTGCTGTCCCCATGAATTGGAAGCCAGGACCTTGGATTAGAAAGCAAGCGTCTTAACCACCTAGCTAGACAACTCTACTCCACATGAACTGTTGTTTCACTTAATCAATGCTTTACACTTTACAGTATGGGTTACAACAAAGTAGACTCGGCTGATCATTACCAATAAATGAAAACTTTAGATGTAGTTCAAACTGAGACAGCCTTCCCACTTGCTCTGTCGGTCATAACTTCATCACACGGAGAATATCTTATATGTTTATCTCACTGCACAACTTTCTCATTGCCTTGTAACATTTAGTGTCAACACTACAAAAATATAAACTAAGCTTAACTCCCTTGCAAAATTCAGATTTGCATTTAAAACCAGGTACTGTATATGCCTTGGCGCCTTAAGCCACTAGCTTTCAACTCCACACTGTGGTCCTAAAAACGGACCTTAAGTTTCAAAATTTGGACATTCAGTCTGAAGCTAATTTTATGGCCCTCTTTCCCTTTTTTAAAATGCACTCTTATTATTTTGAGTTTACCAATGTTATCACTCACCCACCCTTAGTTTTCTACAGCTACAACCCTGAATAGACCCTAATAAACTAAAGAAACTGAACATTTAATAGGAATATTTGAGGCCTATCTAGACTATGCATGAAACAAAATTTAGACCCAGGCTTTGTCTAGCCTAGGACCATTCAAAAGCCTAGATGAAATCCTCACACCATTTTACCTGTCTGCACTGACCAAAAATGTGATTACTGTATTCTCTCTTCCCCCCCTCTTCCCCCCCCCCCCCCCCCCCTTTGAAGCATGCTGGCTACGGGCCTGCTAGGGGAAATTTATTATACTTAGATTATGTTAATGCATTCAAAAAATCATTCAGGACTTGCAGGCCCTTAGGATTTTTTTTCTTGCATTAACCTTCGTATTATAAATTTTCACTAGTGTATAATACACAGCTATTCTAATTGCTTAATATAATTCCCTTCAATATATCTTACCAACTCAGTCCTAGTGTAGTACGATTTGTTTTGGTAAACGTAATAGTTTTCCTTGTGAGATGTTAAGGTAGCTTATTTTTTGTTTCAGTAAACATAACGACAATTGTTTTGCAGTCAATGTATGCCAGTCATCATCCATCTATGCCATTGGTTAACCTTCCGAACATTTATTTGACTAATATCTTTTATGTTAATGGTGTGGCTGACATCCCAACCTTTCAGAGCCTACACTGTATTTGATTACCTTTGAATAACATATTTTTATTTTTACTTGTGTTTTTTAAATAATTTAGTGGCAAGCTATTTGATATTAACCAAGAAGATATCTTATAACGGACATAATCTCCAAATATATCCTTTTAAAGTAAGTTTTTTTTTTAGTTCACTAGTGTAAAAAAATATAATTATTAATCAGCAACTATGAATATTCTCTTTCTAACATTTTTTTTAAATGCTAATAAGGAGGTTTTGCACTCAAACACGTACAGTGAGTGTGATGAATACGTCATCATTTATGACGTCATCTGTCTCTTATAGTGCTAGACATTTTAAGGGTGGGTGGGTCATAGCATTGGTAAACTTTAAATATTATGAGTGGATTTTAAGGATGGAAAATTGGGTTAATAAGGGTGGGTGGAGGGCCATGAAATTAGCTTTAGACTGGTTGGCAAACTTCAAGGCTGGTAGGCCCTGCCCACCATAACTACATCCCTGGGCTCACTTTTATTCCTTTTACAAATTAGGTAATGATTAGTGCTAGGAATATGGCTAGGCTAGGCTTGAGGTATGTAAACACTGGCTAATAAGGAGGTTTTGCACTCAAACACGTACAGTGAGTGTGATGAATACGTCATCATTTATGACGTCATACACTGGTTGCTATCCACTAAATGTGTGGACGACACAAATATCTCACTCACTACATGTAAGTGAAAAACGTGTAGGAAAATTTTGGATTTCTAGTAGGATCTTTGGGTTTTTTCACATTTTGTGTGTTACAACATTCTTTGTTAGGTAAATAAGTGGCAGATCCAGCTTGCGGGTGGAGGGATTTACCCCCAAGCTCTGTGACACCAAATAAATCGCTACCCACAAATGTGATATCACTGAGTTTAAGAGATAGGTCTATAAATCGCTGGGATTCAATCTCGCGCTACCCTGGAAACGATCTGCATCTGCCCCTGTTATGTAGTAGGTAGGGAACGCCAAATCTAGTGACCAAATTCCCTATCTGAGAGTATAACACCTCACAACACCCTCCCCCCCCCACCTGGAAAACTGACACCTTTTAATTTCTTCTCTTCTCCACATAGCATAGCGGAGTCGAGTGGCCAAGCGGTAAGGCAGGGGCGCCGCTAGCTACAGCCTTTAACATCGGCGCTGGTTGATCAAGCTGCTCCTCGCCCATGGTTCGGTTGGTAGAACCAAGTCTTCTCAGATAAGGACTTAAAATGGAGGTCCAGTGTATACATCTGGCTCGTGTGCACTTTAAAGAACCCATTGCATCTTTCGGAAGAGTAGGGGGGTTACCCCGATGTTAAGGTTCATTTCAGCCCCTGTCGTTGTGAAATGATGTGAACATGTACCTACCAAGAAGCGCCTCTTTACAGCTGCTAAGTAGTCACGGACCATGCCCATACGCAATTCAGCACAATGGCGCTGCAAATTATGGGTTATTCTTCTACCTTTACCTTTTTTAGTCTAATACCCTAAAAAATATGTTTTTAAGCTCTTCGGTTTCTACAGAATAGCGAAAACAGCAAAATTTAGTATTATTATGTAGATTTTACAATGTAAGTTACCTGGTTGGCATTCCAGAGGGTATTAGAATGGCGTCCTCCATTACCCTATTATTCAATAAACAAAATACTGTAGTGAGGTACACATACCCGAGAAATCCTGTTAATCATTGTTAAGATAGGCTTTAGTGTATTAGTAAGTGCCAGAAGTAGTATGAGACATTGATGGTGTTATAAATTCAAATACTTAAAGTCCTTCTAATCAGTTGTGGCGCCAGGACCTGGGAGCACCAGGGCTAGTGGAGCTAGTGGAAGCCACAGATATTTGATGAATTATGGCGAATTTTTATTACTTATTTGATAGGCATTGAGTTACTATAATATGACTTCATGTAGACTATGCTTTCTAATGTTGAAACCAGCTTCCAAAACCAAAACATTTTGAATAAAGCAAAAAACAAAGAGTATGCAATGTAACCATCTAATTTATTTTCAAATCCTCATTCTTGAAAGTGAAATTCTATATTTTGGAAATTTTGCATGAAATCTGTCAACCACGTCAGGGCTTGCCCTAACTTTTTTTGGTAACTAGCCCACTGGGCTAGTTTACTAGAGATTTTACTAGCCCACAGAATATTTTACTAGCCCACAGACAGGATAAAATTTTGTTTCAAAATATTTATTAGCGACAATTAGATTTGAAGTTTGATTTGCAATTTCATAATTTCTGTAGCATTGCTGTTTGTAGCTACCCTCTCAAAATATTGTTGAATAAATAAATAAAAAAAAATCACCCATGCTGCAAAATCGACTCTGGTTATATTAAACAGGGACAGATGAGCATGTTTTACATCTCCCTGGTTATAACTTTGGCTTTCTAGTATTTAACAAAGGGCTCAAAAATCAATCAAATCAATGCATCTGTTAAATCTTTAGGTCTCAAGTCACTCACCCCCAATGGCAATAAATCTTGCTTAGGCTGGGCTAGGCTACTTAGGCCTAGACAAGACCTAGGGCCTAGCCTAGCCTAGCCTACCTATAGCATTGAAGTACTTAATTATTAAAAGTTGAACATTTTAAAAATATCATTATGAGAAAATAATATGAATATGAAGGTAGTACATTAAATTAAATGTTCTAACTACCTAAATTAACCAGATCGAACGATCAGACGATCTTCTATTGAAAGATAGTAGTGGTTGGTGAATGACTTGGGGATCATCTTAATAATTAAACACTCACGTATGTGGAGAACAGAAAGCTAGCTAGAGTGTACTCTCTGGGCTGCGGTACCACCTGTGCAGGGATTGTCCCGAAAGTTCCGCTTTTTTTTTTAAAAGAAAATGTTTTTCTTGCTAGTTCTCTACTAGACAACCGGGCAACATAAGGAGTAAATAGGCTAGCCCGGAGCGGTTTTTACTAGACATTGTACGCCGGGCTAGTACTAAATTGAGCCCTGCACGTTGTCATGGTCGAGGTTGCTTCACCTATCACGATGTATTCCAACCATCATGAGGCTTTCTAAATGAACATTTGTCATAACAGAACGCAAATTATTTTTAATTAGTCTCATCGAATTATTATTCTTGTTATTGTGGTTGTTGTTGTGATGAAAAGTTAACACAAACGATATGGTGGCAGGAGGGCTATAGCCCCCTAGCCCCCTCTGTCGCCACCAGAAAGTTTTAATTTCAATAATTATGGGTCTATTGAGGAGCAGGCTGAACTAATGAGCATATTACAAATACATGTTTTCAGTGCCTATGGAGAGATTTGGAGAATCCTCAATGAACTCAACGTCACAGAAGCTGGGCATCCAGAAGACATTCCAGCCAAACTCAAGCTTTTCTCTTTTAAAATTGCATAGCCTCTGCTGTATGCTCCATTTTCAATATTTGCCTTGAGGAAGGAAACTTTCCCTCTGTGTGGAAGACATATCCATAATTCCTGTCCCCAAAGTCAGGAAGCCCAAATCAGTCGATGAAACCTATTTCCCTAACCAAAATGTTAGGATATTCAGTCATTCTTGGCAGATTGGCTCAGAGAGGATTTTGGTCTACAGTAGTTCTCAATTGCAAACAGTATGGTAATGATGTCGCCTTAACAACATCATCAGTGAGAGACATGGAAGAACAACTAAAGAATCTGAACAAGGAAAGTCAAAAGGTTGGTCTGAAGATGCATAAAGGAAAAACAAAATACATGAAAACTTTACAACAGATGAAAAAATCACAATAGAAAATCAACAAATAGAGAAAGTGGATAAATACAAATACCTAGGACAGACATTGAACATGGATAACAACTCAAGAGGAAGAAATCAAAATTGGAGTGAAAGAAGGATGGAGATGCTAGGGAATGTATAAAAATATTTTGACAAATAGGAACATACCAATGTCACTAATGAGAAGAGTTTTCAACCAGTGTATTCTGACAAAAATCACATATGGAGCAGAAACATGGTCAACAATGAAGGATATGGAACAGAAACTAATAACAACCCAACCAGCAATGGAAAGAAGAATGTTATACCTCTCGCTAAGAGGTAGAGTTCGGCATACCTAAAATAAGAAAAATAAATATTGAAATTAAATATGAAAAATCATAATTCAGGATAAAAGCAAACAGAGTAATGAGATATACATAAACATTAAAGAATAAGCAAGCCACTTTATTCATGCTTGTTTTTCTTCTTGAGCAATTAAAGTGCTAGTTTGAAACCCTCTTCGCCCAGTTTTTGGTTAGAAAAGAACCAGGAAGGACCAATTTTTGTTAGATAAGAACTTAAAATCAGAGGTTCAGTGTACTAAATGAGCTACTAAGTGCCTGTCCATCAATTATGCTTTAAATTATAAATTATTCTACCCTTATCAAAAAAATTGGAAATTAATGTTAATAGTATTTACTAATAAACTACAGATAACACTATTTTGGATTTCTTACGATAACAATGTTTTAATTTTAGTAGTATTATTGCAGGCAGTTTATATTTATGGTATTTCTTTATAAATTCTTTAAAATAGTATCAAATTAATGATTTGATATTTTTAAGAAAAATTTTACTAAGATATATTCTCATAAATTGTCTTGACAGGTATGCCATCAAATGAAGACATTTATTTTGCAGCTTGATAAAGAAGTTATTCAACTTGAACCAACTCTAAAGGATCACATCTTTAGTGCCCTTGATGTTAAAGGAAGATTTTTAAAAGATGGGCGGAAACTCATGTTAAAGGAAGATGATGATGTTTTTAAAGTATATAAGTATGTGTCTGATAGAATAAAAGGATTGCTTAACAGTTACAGTGGGTGGTTTGGGAAAACGGAAAGAAAAAAAGAGGAGCTTAAGGAGGAAGGACAAACTTGCATGGTAGGACAAACAGAAATACTTTTGTATATTTTTTCTGGGTAGTGAGACTAGCTGCTGATTGATGGAAAACTAAACAATTAAACTCTGTATTATGTGTCAAAAAGAAATACAAAAGCCAGTATTCACAGTCTGTGCATGAGAATGGGGCATGGCTAGAAAGCCAAGTCAATGGCATTGTTTCTAGCTTGGTGAAAGGATATTAATATTACCGGTAATATATTTATTCAAAATAAAATTTTATTCAGATTTTACCTGTAGAAAATGCTTTGTGTAAATGGTTTGATGATGACAAATGCTTCAAAATAGCAGTTTGTGGATTGAAGAACCAGGTAAGGCCAATGATGATGTAAGTGCTCAGCACTCTTTACCCAACTTAAAAGTGTCAAAAAGAAAGGATGTCTCAATTTTCACCTTATATACATTCTTTTTGTATAACATTATTTGTTCTAATTAAAACCTTTTGTCAGTTTATGAAACACCAATACATAACTGTTGTATTGAATATTCAATTTTTTCTACCAACATGAGCAAAGGTAGTTTACTCACCTGTTAATCAACACTTACAGTGGTGTTGCTTGTGTTCTCTTTGGAAATACATCATTTCTTCTATAATTTTTTCTGATACATCTTGATGGCATTATTGTTTAGCACTTCAAAGTATCCTACCCGATCATACAAATATTAGACATTACTTTGTTCTCTATCATACAATATATAATACTATACATAGATTATTTACCTTTATGTTTATTTTACTATACATAAATTATTTAATAAATAAATATTATATATATTGGACATATTTTTCAAATATTAGACACAAATATCATACAAATATTAGACATTTCTTTGTTCCTGTCATATAAATTTATAATACTATACATAAATTATTTACTTTTATGGAGTGATCATTACACATTTTGACAACAAATGTGCTAATGCTTAACTAGAGAAAAAATATTTAGTGATCTGTCATTACCTGGATAGGTGAAACGATGTGCATACCTTATGAATAAACTTTTTTTTTTTCAGGTTCATGTGAACTTCAAAATAGGAATGGAGGATTCTGAAATTCAACTGGAAGGAAATAAAAGTCAAGTGAGAGCTGTGTCGAAAGATGTCCAGACAGTTCTTATGGAAATAAGGGAGCAGGAAAGCATCTTGAATGAAGTGAAATGGTACAGAGAAGAAAAAGATTGCTTGAAACTCTTTGAAGATAATGCTATAGTAAATCTTGAAAAACATCACAGAAAAGGAATTGGTTTTACAATGGAAATTCCCCAACCCCAAAAAGTTCTATCTTTTGATATCAATTTTCAGAAGATGACGGCAACTCAATTAGACACGAAAGAAGTAGTTAATGTTGTTCGATGGGAAATCAAAGGTACAGTGAGTTAATAGTTTAAACTACTGAATGTTTTTAATCCTAATATCAATGATGATAACAGTACATGCCAATAATCAGGATGACAACCAAACAGGGGCTGATTTAGAGGGGGGTGACGTCACGATTAGTAGCTGTCTAAAGACAGCTTATCGCAATCCGCCCTGGCCTTCACATTATTATCTGTCATTGAATTAACTGGAGTGTTCTATAATGTTGCAACTATATAATCAATGCATTAAGCTCTGTACACACTATGAAATTTTATGTGACAAATAAATGTGATATACCCATATTTAGGTCACGGTAGTATGACATCACAATGAATCAAAATGATGAAGGGCTGAAATCGATGGTTGAAAGCTAGAAGAGTTTCATTTTCATATATGGTTCTAGTTGTAATATATTTTCAATGAAAGTCTGCCCCTAGATTTTTGAGATTGTGGAGCTTTGAAATAAAGAACCGTTATTAAATGAAAAAATAATCACATACAATTATTAGAGCACACCAGTTAATGTAACACTTACACTAACACTTAATGTATTGATGTAAATTTAACAATGTTACAGTACTATTGTATACTCTATTATATAAATATATAATATGAAGTAACATGGAATTACTGTTGTTAAATAGCACTGTGAAATATACATATAAATATTCAAGGATAGAAAAAGTGCTCGATATAATAAAGGAACAATGAGGTAAACATCATTTTGGGCAGCCCATTAATATATTAATAGCCAATATTATATAGTGAACATTTATAATGTGCCAGTATCCATCAAAGATGTTTATGGCGCAAAACAGAAGTCGAGAGAGGAGTTATCAGTTTGTAATCTTAACTATGAATAAAAAAAAATAAAATTATTAATAATAAATGTAGACCTGGTGGGGAGGCTTCAGGAGTGCATTTTGCTTGCCCAAGGAAGAAATTCCTAATTAGCAACTCCTAAGACCATTCCATCATTACAGTATTCCTTAATTTGAGCACCATTTCTACCAGTATTTCATTACTTCTTATATCTGAATATATGTATGTATGATTGTATGTGTACCAACAGAGCTGAAAAAACTACCTGATTATTGGGAACCAATGAAAGCAGGAGGTAAGCTTGTAGTACCAGTGAACCCGGATAGCAAGGAGTATACTTACATTGGTACTGCATTTCAGGAATCACTTGCTAAAGGAGGCATTCATGCCCAGTGCGCAATTAAGGTGTGCAATAAATTTTAGTTTTTTTGAAACATTTTTGCTATAAATAATTCTGAAAATGTCAAAAAATGCATAATTTTTTTGCCAACATTTTTTGTAAATTTTATTATCAACTCTGTTGAATGGTATTAAAATGAATGAATATAAATTTTTAGTTTATCGAACTGCTATTTGTAACAAATTATGATGGTGGAGATAATGATGGTAATAAGGAATTTTAGTATCCCTTATTAAAGATTGGAATCATAGTAATAATATTAATAATTTTTACTCCAGTTATTATATCTGCTTTTTCCTCATTCCCTAATGAGAATTGTTAGAATTAAAATTTCCCACGCATCGATTCTTCTTGAAAACAGATGTTCCACTTTAAAGGTCCCCACATCCACATCCTGCTCTGGTTTGTCACAAAAATTTCTGTGGGACAATTATGACCCCTTCCAGAAAGGTTAATTCAGATCCATTGATCAGTTTTTCAGATATCTAGTTATTGACTTCCCTTTAAATGCTGTACACCTAAAACTGTAGACAGGAGGCTGCTAACAAACATGCACACACACACTGTAAAAATAAGAAAATCGATGAAAATATAACCTCCTTGGCGGAGGTAGTAATAGAATGATAATAAAAACACAGTATGAAGTTTTAGGTGGCACCCATTTTCTTGATTAGTTTCCGAGACTGCATGGCCCTTCTTGAAATAGTTACAAATGTTATCATTATCGGTGGAGGATTTAAGGTGGACCAGGCGGCTCAGCCTTCCCACTTCACCTAAATGTTCCAAAATTTTAAAAAATACAATCTTACAATCGTAATAAGTATAATGTTACGATGATTTTTTCTGAAAATGTGAATCAGTATACATGGTCCTAATTCTTCAAGACGTGGGAGCTTTCGGAGATTCCATGACAGCTCCCAGTAGCAATAACTTAGCCCTGCAGTCCTTTGGCCTGATATGTAATCTTGCATTGGGGCCTAATGTCATCTAGCTACGCCGCTGTCATCTACCTTTATCATAGCAATTCAGTGATTAAGAGCGAGAATTGTTCATGCATTTCGCAGTAATTTTGCGTTTTTACCCTAGCTGCAGCTGGTTTAAAATTCAGAAAAGTTTAATTACCTGTTTATTAATATTAAAATATGTTGAATGGCTCCATTCACACCCAATTCTGGATCGTCACCAAAATTTAATAATTTGCTGCTTGTAGCATAGTTAAACTTTTCAGAGACTTTTTATTCAGATCAGTTGATCAGTTTTTGGTATATCTGATCCTCATATTCACACCCTTCAATTTGTCACCAAAATGTTTTCATTTTCTTTATTGGACCATGATAAACTAGAAAGTTTCACTTAAATCCATATGTTCTTTAAATTACCCTCAAATTCAAACCCGAACATAATTGTCATCAACATTTAGGAATGTCTTCCTTGTAACTTGGTTAAACTTTGCTGAAAGTTTCATTCAGATAAGTTGATCTGTTTTTAAAATATTTAGCGAGGGGTGTTTTCCTTTATTTTTATATTCAAATGGTTCCTATATTCACACTCCACTCAGATTGTCACTAAATTTTAGGAGGCACATCCTTGGTATATTGTGCTTGGACAAAGTGCAGGGCAGTAAATTCATGTGCAAAAGGGCAGAAAAAACTAAATTGAAGAAGAAAAAAATCAGACCAAAAACAATGCCTTTCCTGCTACTGCAAGTATAAGGCAATGATATACCAGTATTGTTATGAAGTACTACAGTATTACTAAACAACTACAGTAATTAAAAATTAAAACAAATAATTTCTAAAAATTACATAGCTTTTTACAACAGTTGTGAAATTGGACTAAATGGTATTAACAATCATTTAATATTGTTCTGGTTTTACTATATTGGTCACTAAAGTGTTTCTTTTTACCAAATTTAATAACGTGATACCTTGGGTTTTTTAAAGAACTTTGAAATCAATTATTTGATAGATATTTCGCATCCAGAATCATGAGCTGTGGAAACAATTTGCTGCAAAGAAAGAGGCGATTGAGAACACTATGCCAGGAAGGAATGTTGAAAGATTGCTGTACCATGGGACTGGAGAGGACACTGTGGTGTCTATCAACAAAGACGGTTTTAACAGAAGTTATGCTGGAAAAAATGGTAACACAAACAATTTTATAAGATAAGATATAAGGTGGAGCAAGGCTACACTTTTTTTTTTTCAATTTTCTGTCTAAAAATGCTATTGTTAGCAGATTTATCTGACATGACCAACTCATACAGACATGACTGCACATACATATTAAAATACATAAATATTGGTGGTTTCGGTGAGCAAGTTAAATATGTATTATAACCTCTAACTCTGCTAATTAAAAGTGTTTTTTATTAATTTACTCTTGGCTAACTGTTGAATATAGCTACTTTTTACTACTACGTACTTCAAAGGGGCGAGACAGAGAGTGGGCCTTCACCTACAGTAGCCATTGCGGAGTCGCGATAAATCTGGGGAAAAATGTTAATTGCAATATTTTAAGACAGCTAATTTGATAGTGTGTTTAGATAGGAAATAATACTTTTCACCTCAGCACTAGCCGGCTCCTAGTCGTTGAATGGCAAAATTGCCACAAAGTGCAACCTTCTATGCTCTCTAGTCGTGCACATATTCAGCCTCTAAAGTAGTACATTCAATGCCCCAACATCCTACCAGGTACCCATACCTTTAACTAGAGACAAGTGCTTTGCCAAAGACGCCAGGGACGTAGCCAGGATTTTGAAAGGGGGGGGAGCCGTTATGCGAATCACGTATGACCCCGACGGGGTCAAGGGGGCGAATTCCCCTGTGAAGTACAGGTAGCGCACTCTGAACGTTCTTAGGACTGTTTGAGAGGATAAAGTGAAAATTGCAATATACGCATAATAAATAAAAATAATTATATAATAAATCAACAGTGGCAGATTCAGGAATTCGAAAGAGAGATGAACCAGGGAGGGACTTTCACAGACCGAGGAACCACCCACCTCAGCCCCACCATGGTTGGGGCTGAGGTAAGAAAATTTATGATTAGGGCATCTTTAGATGGCCGGAAATTACACTCCCGCACTTCAATTTGGATATTTTTTTTCTTTCTTTTCCATAAAAATATGAAGGGTGGGGGGGCCTTTGAATCCACATCTGCTCAAACATTCTTTATCCAGAATAGTCATAATCACAGAAAATGTACATGAAAAACCAGATCACATCCTAAAAACAAACAGCAGTCACTAAGACATACATCAGGAGCCGACGATTCGATGGAGTTCGAGTTCGAATGTCATACCCAGGGAAGGGCACAGATCTGTTTTGAAAGGTGGAGGGGGAGGGCATTTTGTGAGTCGACACCCACCTCAGCCCCACAATGGTTGGAGCTGAGGTGAGAAAATTTGAGGAAATAATATCTCTAGATGGCCAGAAATGACACTTTTAGTAAAATTCATTATCATCACATCACCATTAGTCAAAATGAAGCGCCAAATAAAATTCTCATGATCTTTTATCATGGATTTTTGACAACCATAGAGTTAATGTGTGTGTGTATTCCATAGAAAACAAAGCTTAAAAACATTGTCTTTGAGTATGTACTTTACATAGGCCTACTTCAAAAACGTGATTTCACAACCACCTCAGCCCCACCATGGCTGGGGCTGAGGTGAGAAAATTTGAGGAAATAGTACCACTCAAGATGGCTGGAAATGACACTTTTATATAGTAAAATTCATCATCATCACATTACCATTATAGTCAAAAATGAAACGCCAACAAATTTCTCATGATCTTTTATCAGGAATCTCCTTAATATCCAGGAAAACTTAGGCCTAATTATAGCTTACTAAGCTTTAACTATATATACTATAGTATGATCAACAAATCACAACTTTTTTTTTCGCATTTAGCACAATTTTCTTCACTTTTTATTGCTATTAATATTATTATCAATTATTACTATCGTCAT